TCTCATCCAATTTGGTGACTATAAGTTTGCCCAAATACATTAATACACTATAGCTATCACAAATTTTCTCATCATCGTCATTACCCCAGTGCAGCAAAAGTACATCCGATGAACGTAAAAATAAAATTCAAGAACGCTTAAGATCGAGAGGAAAGAAAACCGAGGATTACCGGAAATTCCGATATCATAACCAAACATCAATCCACCGAATGCAGCGAGGATCCAGCAAGCGAGTACATAAGGTGTAATTCTGGAATCGAAAAGAGTATTGCCTATGGGAGCCGACGCCATTGTTTTTCTTCGAATTATCACAGTTGGTTGGATCTAGGAAAATAAAAATAATGAAGTGTTTGTTTCTTTTGGGTAAGGTAAGGGTGAATTTATATATGTTTGGCTTTTGATTCCGAGTTGTTAGCTAAACTGTGTCGATGCGCGTTAGAAGTTGGATCCAATATTGACTCGTTAATCAGTTTTGTTTTACGACAAATAAGATAAGGATTTGTATCATAATGATATATCCAAATGGGAGAAGGAAGGTCAGTCAGTAATTATCGCTAATTATCTGTGTATATATTACATTACATGCTAAAAATTAAACAAATTAATACTCCGTATGTTTTCCTTTTTAGTAAGAATAAAAATTAAATCCATTCATGTATCTGTTCGAGTTTTTATTATTTTAATTTTATATTGGTTCCCCAAATATACTAGGGAAACACTATCAACAATGACCATACAATGATGATGATGATAACTAAAATTAAAACTACTTGATCGGCAATGAGTAGAAATATTCAAAAAAAAAACAATTTAGCACTCCGTATATAATACTCAATTCGTAAATTAGTACAATCTCCGACTCGTTTAATATAAAGATTCTCATTGCAAAATGGTACAATTATTTAGAAAATAATTAAATATAGTAATTCGAGTATATTTTAAAAAATTGTTTTGATGGGTTTATATATAATACGTGTTTTTAATACTACGTGCTATACAAATTGTTTTGATGGGTTTAAAAAAATATTTAGAAAATGGTACAATTAATGATAATTGTGGTATTACAGATGTATTATTTTTAATTTAATACTACGTGTTTGATAATTCAATTTTCATTTAACAGTGTTCTTTTTCTGAAATAGAAAATAAGAACCTTTAATTAAAACATTCAAAGGAAAGTTAGAATTTTGAATGGATGGAAAGACATTAATATGAGTCGTATGAGTGTATGACAAGTATTAACCTAGGATTGATCCAAATGCTTAAGAGAGCACTAGTTCGACTACAAGAAGGTTATTGGAGTTTTACAAGAAGGTTAATTAAAGTCTTCTAGCAACATTTGTTATCTCGCTATAATTAATTAGTAAAAAGAATTTATTTATCAATTAATTGAGAAGTTTTTTATTACACCACTATTTGTCTTCTCACTATAATTCAATTGGTAAAAAATGTCCCGAGATAGTTACGTTCTATATTACTCAATCTGTCCGGCAAAATTGTCAAATCTTTCTTTTTTGATCTGCCTCACTAAAATTGTCTAACACCAAATTTAATAAAGTTTATACGATTTTAAACTATTCTTACTTTATCAATTCAATATTAATCATATAAACCAACTCTTCATAATAATCGTACCACCTTTAATAGGACGAAGGTATGTACGACTTAGGTCATAATATCAATATATTCCTGTAGTGGATACACAAGGGGCAATTCAAGTTGCCCCTATTACTTTAAACTATAATATCACCCCTCATATCCAGAATTTTGCGTCCACCATTAAATATATTTTTATATAGGCCACACCAAATTAGATAAGGGCATATGTAATTTTATTTTCAGAATAAAGGATAGCAAGTTCACTAAATTTTATTATGTTTAACTGCTATATTTTTAGATAATTTTCTCAAGTTTTACCTATAATTGCATATTTGCACACACGTAATATAAATTGATCTTTTTATACATAATTGAACGTGTATACCTTAAACTAAATCTAATCAAATGATATTAATAATGTGATTTGCTCTTTCTGTGTTTTAATACAAGCCTACAAGAGTAAGACTGCGTACATCCGTCAGTGATGTATCCACTATGGGGCAGTGGGGACTGCTGCCCCCCTCAACCCCAACTCAGCCCTTATATACATCTAAAGTTTTATAGGAATTGGTTCAAAATAACAGTTAAATATGAAAAAAATAGGATTAAGAGTGTTTTTCTTCTTAAATATAGGTTTATGTAGTCCTATTAAAATAATAAATTATAAGGACAAAAAAATCACTAAATTTGGTTGTGTTCAACTTTTATTTAGGTGATTTTTTCAAATTTAATCTACAATTGCATCTTTGCACACATGTAATATAATTTGATTTTCTTCGTAACTTGTACATCTATATCTTAAAGAAAAAATGACATCAATATTACTATGAGTCTTTCCAATTCCAAAAATATGACCAATTTTACATGTTCCAGAAAAGTGACATCATTAAGAGCAATAGCCAAGTTAATCGTTTATTTCCCTTATCGATGATTCTCTATCCCTTTATTACTCCATATTATTCTGAACTGGAGCCTTATTTCTTGCCATTGTTATCGATGTTTCTCTCTCCCTTAATTAACACAACTTCCTTTCTCAAAATTTCCCACTTTGAAATTACATCTTCGTCATCCTCAAGTTCTCAACCCCCCTCTGTTTTTTGCTTTCTTTCCGGCGGTCATCTGTTCTTGAAGTTCATAACATCAAAACATCGCCGTTACATTGAAAGTTCCAATCCTAGAGTCACTATCTGATGGTAATTATGTAATTTTGTTTTTGTCACTTTTTTGAACTCCATATCCATCATTCGTCGTTGTTTCATCTCTCAAGCACCATAGCATAGCCATCACTTTTCTTCATCTTCTCTTTTTCTATCAGCGGTTGGCGCTGAATCGGGGACGCGGATAGAGTTTTCGTTGGGGACGACTTACAATTGTGGCACATGGCTAGGGGGTTAGATCATAGAGTCTGGGTTTGATTAATTGGTGGTGCGATTTTGGGCTGGTTGGTGGCGGTGGCAGCTGGGTGGGGGTTGCGGCAGTGTTGGGGAGCGCTGAGATGGTGGCGCAAGTCACTAGGCAGGGGCAGAGGGTCGAGACAGTGGGAGATTGGAGCATGTATGAGGGTAATGGTTGGTGGTCACTGACTCTGGTTTGAGCTGGTCACTGGCGGTAGTCTCTGGATGATGCGTTATTGGCCAACAGTCACCATAATGGTGGTGGCGTCTCTGGGCGGGTTACCGGTGATGGTCACCGGACGGGTTACTGTATGACATAGTTACTGGATAACGGAGTAGTCATTGAACCACTAGGGCGATGAAGTCACTAAACTACGTTTACGGTGAAGTCACTGGTACAGTTGATGGCGATAATTATGGAGGCGACAACGGTGTATGTAGGCGAGGCGCTGGTAGTGGTGTAGGCCGCAGTGTGATGCCAATGTTGGATGGGTGGCTGAACAATTTATTATTTTTTATTTATAATAAATGTAATACCAAAATAATATTAAAGGACATTAAATGATAGGTCACCTTTTTGGAAAACTTAAGAACAAGTCATATATTTGTCTTTCTTATATAAATTAGTAATATTCATAAAAAATGGCCTATCTTAAACTAAGTCTAATCAAACAATATTAATAATGTAATTTGTTACTCCCTCTGTCCCTAATAACTTTGTCAAGTTTGACCGACACGAGAAATAATAAAGTAAAAACTGTGTGGTTGAGAATTGTGCCCGCAGAGGTGAGAGAATGAATTGGAACCACAGATTCTTTACAGAATAAGGAAAATGACAAAGTTAGTGGGACATCCAAAAAAGGAAAGTTGACAAAGTTATAAGGGACGGAGGGAGTATTTGTGAAATATGTTTGTCCCCGGTCACAAAATCTTCTAGATAGGCCACTAATAACTGAGATCAACAATATCGTCACTCACAAGACCGGAACCAAGATATAATAATAGCATTGTCACTACAGAGAAGAGAAGCTAGGTTATCCAACTAACAGGTACTAGCTCGTAATCTTGAACTAATGATGAATACTCTTCATAATACTACCTCCGTTCTGATATATTTTATAACTATGAAAGTCCGATCTGGTCTGGGACTGAAAACAATCCAAAAGAAAACTTCAAGTAGTAACTTTTTATATTAAGAGTCTAATTTGATAAAATTTATTGAATCAACTAAATCTGCTAAAATTGATGAACTTTTAACTGAAACAGTTGAATTGGCTAAATTTGTTGAATTATTAAAAATCATATTTAAAATATTTTGTTAATAAATAAATAAAAATTATTTGAAAATAGCTATAACGGTTCTTTATAATAACTTTAACTTTACTTATTTTAGTTATTATGCAATTCAGCATACAAAATTAAAAGTTACGTATTTAGTGAACAACTTGATCAATAAGATTGATAATCCGAAAAACGTGAATCACCAAAAGGGAGCCCTAATTGCGTGATCTTTAATAATTTATTTAGCTACTTTGATCTCCGGATAGATTTACTTCTCTAATCAACATAGAGTTGCAATGGTGTTTTTGAAACTTCATTTGGTTCTTTATTGAGCATGCTCTCTTGGTTCTTAAAAGACGACGACAAGGATTAAATCCATGGTTTTCATATACGTACAATCATAGTAAATTTGCCTTTCCTAGTGCAATACTGCAATTGTGCAAATAACGTTTCCACAATATCATTTCTTAGCATGCTTTCATAGTTTCATTGAATGTTTAAGTCTTCAATCTATTGAAATTTGATAAATGTCTTATTTTATATTGTATAATTTTAGATTGGCATATTCTGTTTATTGAGACTGAAACAAGTGAAAGCAATTTACAAATAATAGTTACAGTATTATACTATTATCAACCAATTTACAAATGGTCAAAAAACCGGCAAATAAGTTAAACCAGGGTTTCCAAAAGGCACATCAGTATTTAAATTATAGTGTTACCACATGCGTATTAATAGCATTAATTATTATAACTAATAATAGAAGTAATGTATTAGTAGTACCAAGCTTCAAATTCAAGTCGAACACAAAAAATAAATTTAAAAAATAAGGCTAAATCCAATTCCAACAACTCCTCTGTAATAGTTCATTTACAACGAGTAATTCTAAAAAGGCATTAAAACTGCAAATCGCAAGAGGAAGAAGTTATCGTTGAATTGCATTATCATTCAATGATAACGTAATTTTTATGCCTCCATAGAATTACTCTTACAACATTACTCTTACACATGAGACTATACAAAAAAAGTTAACACAACCAGCAAGCTCACTGCTGCTGGAGTAGTAGTTTATAGAAGCTAAGAAGATTTACTGTTGTAGGAGAAGAAGAAGCAAGTGTGCAGCAGAAGTATAGTCTAGTTATTTGACTCCTTTCAGCACTCTAGAAGAGTTCCATCAATTGTTGTGCAACATCTGCAGGATAAATAATCAGGCTATGTCAAATCAAACATGCATTTATCTTTATTTTACATTTTGTATTACCCGATCCAACAGACAAAATCAATAATGGTCATTAACAAATGGGGTGCCCCGATTCATTACCCCTACTACTTCTCTTTTAAATATTGTGACAAACCCTATTGTAGCAAACATTTCAATGTGGAGGGAGTATGAAGTATATGAAAATAATAATGGTCAAATATGGACATTAAATAAGCGGAAGCCAGCCTGTCAACTTCACTTTGGGTAAGACGGAGGGAGTATTTTGCTAATAGACAGTTATAATAGTAGTACTCACTAAAAGCCAGTTTTTTTAAATTAGTTTCACCATTTAGAAGGGGGATAATTGAGGTGTTATTTACCTCGAAGTACAGGAGGTGGGGTTTGGAACTCGTGCCAGATGAAGTGATTAGAAGCCATATTCAAGTTCAAAAACTTAGCAGCAAGGTATGCAGCACCAGCAGCAATCTGTTTCGGTTTGAACTGAAGCCAAAGGGAACTTCTAAGCCTACACAAAATCCAGACGTACCAGGTTTAGGGCATACAAAAATGTATTCAATGAATTCACTAAACCACCCACCACTTGGATAAACAACATCAGATGGGCTCCTACATTTGATTCATCACACAAAAATCTGAGAACTAGTACACATAGAGGATTATCAAACACAACAAATTTTAACATGTCAAGGGTATGGAAGCAAAACAAAACAAGTTTCCCTTACCAACTAATTACAGAGCAGCAATGGGGGATGGATAAATCCAAGAACCTTCTGCAGAATGTTGATATAGAGTGCACCAAGAGTAATAGCACAAACATGTTTATAAGCATCTAGATAGAGAGCACAACCTCCCCAGTTCCCAGCTCTGCTGCTGCAGGTATGTGTATAACGACCCCCCAGAAATTTATACTTTTCAGATGTAAGGGCTAATCAGATGTCACTCACTGACAATACCAGCTTCTATTCATGAAAAGAGAATGCCTCAATTTGAAACCATCATGAGCTTCATTCTAAGACAATCTTGTAGTACTAGTACTCTAGAAGTAAAAGTGAAGTCCACCAGGCAGCTAATGATGCAAAACCATATATGGTATCAAAAATTTAACTTAACCAACTGCTGTTCATTAGTACAAATTACAAAAGAACAGCAAGATTCATATTCCTGATAAACTTCTTATCATTTACTTTTTTTAATACATAAACTATGTATAAAAAATATCCTCATGTACCAAGTCCAAGGGCACCATCTTTCTTTCCAAGGATATAAAAAATATCCTCATATAAAAAATATCCTCATGTTTTCCTCATGTACTAGAGGAAAACATCTGTTAATGGCATGATAGTCAACCATCTAACCACTCTGATTCAGGTCCTAAAAGACTTGGCCTCAACATCATATGGTGAAGCACATACCTACAACATTGGAGGAATGGAAGCACAGAGGGTCTGACGCACATTCCAGGAATGGAAGAACAGAGTCTGAGGCACATTCCCTATACAAAGGCCATATAATAGCTTTTGCATTTAACAATGACTTACTAGTTACAACCAAAAAGAGTTAAAAAGCATGTGAGAAACACGCTGCTGAGGTGGCTAAGTACGATTGTGCCCTCTCACAAAAATAGACCGACCATAAATGAGGTGGCTGTGTCAGGTTCAGCCACCTAATGCATGATTGTAATGGAATACGCATACATGCTCCACAAAATTACATGACATATGAAATTGTACAGTGTACACCAACGCCTCCCCAAACAATAAAAAATGTAACCTCATCCCCTGAACCCCCAAAAACTGCTAATATAGTGTGTACTCATTTAGCAGCAAAAACATAACTCAACAACTTTGGAATGACTTCTACTTAAACAAATGCAAAAATAGTCAAGGGGCAGGGAAAAGTGATAGATTTTCCATAAGTTGCAAAGAGAATGATTTCACAATGTTGAAAAACACTCCCTCCATTCCATAAAAAGTCTACTTTGTCCACAAAAAGAGCCATTTTTTAACAAGAGGTGCTATTTCATTACACTTAAATATAAAAAGTACAACAACAACATTCAAGTCTTATTACCAAAAGATCCATGATATTGGAGCCAAAAAGAAAAGAAAGATGAGAAAACAGAAAAGATAAGGTGAGATAAAAAGGATAAGTTAAAGATAACGATATATATAAGATAAAAGAACATAAGAAAGATAAAAGGGTAAAAATAACATAAGAGCGTACGAAAGATACAGCAACAACAACCAAGCCTTACTCCCACAAGATTTTGGAGTCGGCTAACATGAATCGATTCATGCTATCAGAGACGAGAAGAAAAGAAAGATAAGAAGCAAAGGATAAGGTAATATAAAAAGGATAAGATACATAAGAAAGATAAAAGATAAAAATAACAAAAGAACATATGAAAGATAAAGAAGATAAAAAGATAAAAGAAAAAGAGAGAAGGGAAAGAGAGAAAAGAGATCAATCCTCTACACAAATTTGCGCCCTCTACTTTGCTCTCTCCAAAGCCATACTCTCACCCAACCCAAGAAAAAGCATATCAATTCTGATTCTTCTAATCCACGTCTGTTTGGGTCTTCTTCTCCCTCTCATCCCAATCTCTCAACTCCTCTAACACGTACATCACTCAATCTTCTATCCGCATGACCAATCCACCGCACTTAAATAAAAAACAAGTTATACAAATTCAATTATACCCAATAAAAATTAAAAAATATAGCTAGGATGAATGGTATCTAAGAGTTGTACTTTACCATATTAAAAAATTGTACCTAGATGTAACATGACTCTTTTTTGGGACAGGCAATAATAGAACAATAAGAATGAATTTCCTTTTGCTATTTTGATGGGTAAGCTACATTATTGCATAAGCAGGAACTGATACTGTCCAACAAATGCTGAAATATAAGGTGTGATCTGACTTCCGAAGTACATTCTACAAGACTATGATCAGTGATAGAGAGGATTATTGAAAGGCATAAGTATGAAACAACTTCGGAAATGTTCATAAAACCTCACGGTGTCAGGTTTGTATATACCCATTAGTCCATTACAAATTTACTACCATGTATGAACCCCAATGTTATCTACCAAAATAGCATATATATCACATTTAGGGTTGTATTGTACAGCAATTGCTTAACTTTACTGTTATCAACCTGGTAACCACTGACAGAATAACTACAACAAATTGATTTTACACCAACTCTTTTTTGTAATAAACTTCTAGAGAAATGAAAATGTGAGAAAAAAAATCCAATAAGGGATGAATAAACATATGAAAAGTAAAAAATTACTATGTATAATAGTGGACTTAATAGCGTACTCTTTTTTTTATAGTTGTAAAAAACCACGGGCCTAGTCCAGTGGCCAAGTGTATAAGCATTCCAGTTGAAGTCATGGGTTCAAAAGTCAAACTAGAGAAACAGCCTCTACGTGAAAAGGATAAAAAAATAGTGTTTCACATGGTTTGCAAATTGCAGGTGTACTACGGATTGCGTATGACCTTGAAGAAAATATTTAGTACTGAAATTATTATTTATAAATATCATGGAAATATGCTCTTGGCCTTATTGGGCATTTATATGCTTCTGTCAAGTGCCCCCAAAATTTACTCAGCAAACACCTTTTCAGGTTCAATTCCCCTATCAGTCGGTGCCCTATGTGGAGACCAAAAAATAGGTCAGGTGGAAAGAAGTGAAAGAGCACTCATTAAGTCAGTAAGTTTCTTCCATGTGAATAAAAACACACTGTCATGGCAAATCTGCTCCAGGAGCATCACTGACTTATCTTCTACGGCCAATGAATTGCTATTTACGTGTTACGTGAAAAGCATCCAAAAATTTAACTTCAGATGAAAAACAAAACAATTGATGAACAGCATATCAACCGCCAGCTAAGAATATCATACAAGCGAGCATGCTAATCCTTCTAAAGACCCTGCAATTATATGTCAATCCAAATGTATCAAAATTAGATCCAAAATGACTACATATATTAAGACAAGAAAGTAGAACTTGCTGAAAAGATACAAACAGTTGTAAGCCTAGTAAGAAAAAGGACCAAATTGATCGCTTCTCTAATCACTGCTCGCAAAGTCAACCGAGAAGCAGAAAATGCAATCCTTACAAACACATTGATTGAGCGAATTTCACAACTAGGACAACAAATTTTAAAGGTGGAAAATATTACAAATAAATGGAACTTTAGGCCATTGATCCCAAGCTGTTTTGAATGTCCCAGGCTCCCAACATTCATAGGAACCTCCAACAAAAACTGATTAATAGCCACAAGCCCACAATCTAAATAAAGAATGAGAAGAAGGATGCATCTTACCCTTCGCTGACCAAGTTCATTGCCAAATTCACCAAAACTGATTGGGAAAACCCTAATTTCTCAAGAGTGCATGTAAGAGAACCATATGGGTGCTGTACGTTGAGCTCAAAATTTAAAGTTGTCAAGATCAATTGCTCAGCCTCTATAACTCGTTCGCGGTATTGCTCAAACCAGTCCTGTATAAGTTCAATCAACATACGAAGCTTGTTATATATACAGCTAACTAGAAGTAATAAACGCAGATCCACACATGGAGAAAATGAGAGAAAGAAAGAGGAAGTAAAGATACTAACAATGGGAAGTATATACGATAAATAAGAAAAGTCCTGCTTATGAAATATTTCAGCTGCTGATCTCAGCACGGTGTTGAGAGAGCATGGCGTCTCTTCTGATTTGGCAGCCAAGAAGAGAGCAGCAGTCGACACCAACTGTTATTAGAAAAAATATCAGCATTGTTACAATGTGCAAATCCAATGGTTATTTTAAACAGCAAATTTTCAGTGACTAGAAAAAGGATACATACAAATCTATCATGACTAGCATGAGACCTATGAACAAAGAATCGGTGACACAGAACCATGGCAGTCCCAATAGTGGTGTGCGGCCTACAAGCAATTCAAACCAAGATTAGTCTAACAATAGTTGAAGCCGAACATAATATGATAATACAAAAGTGAGTTGACATCTAAATGTCAACTTTAAAACGAAGATATTCCACTTTTGGTTCCACGACTATTCATTAATTCACACTGTTGGCCTGTTTTTCTCTTTTGGTGCAGGATTGGATTGTTTTTGCCATTTTGGTCAATCCAACCATTTATATAACCAATTTCCATACAATTCCAGGTAGATTTTCACCAGAAATGTGAATGGAATGAGCCAAAAGTGGCATGAATCCTTAATCATGGACCAAAAGTTGAAAATATAAATGTACGATTGACCAAATAAGCAAGGAATCAAAAATAGTAGATGGAGCAAATAATGGAAGAACCGAAAATGGTATTTTCTTTTAAAAAATGATTAGGCTAGATGAAAGCATATGGATGACAATTTAAGGACCTAAAGCATAAAAGAAAGCTCACAGTTCCAGTCGGGTTCCAAGCGTCTGCAGGAAAGCACAGTATGAATATCGTAATTGCATTTCATGCAAAGCATCAATACCATCTTTCCTGGACGGAGAGCACCTATCAATTTCCTCTCTGGACATAAACACCACCTCAATGTCACTGTCTTCAAATTCTGATCGGCTACGCTTGTGGGTATTAGATGCATACCCGTTAGAACAAGGCTTATCATTATAACTACCATTGGAAAATGAAATTGTAGAACTCTTGTTGCATATTGTGGTGGCAGTGTCATAAACACCCTGATTCCTTTTATGCACAATGCTATTTAGGAATGGTTGTCTCGATGGAAAATTATTATGTGCATGGTGTTGTTGCTGATGGTACCTCCCTCGTGAAGGAGATGAGCACTTAATTCGCTTACAAGAAGGCTCAACCACAGGTTTCACAGAGCTATCATTGTAATTGTAGCTATAATCTCTAATTTTTTCATTCAAGTTGCTTTGAAGAGCAAGATCTCCTTGATGTGGGAAGATGTCACTGAAGTACTTTGTGGTGTTGAAGGAATCAGCAGCAGGTGAGGTGTTGTAATCATTATGGTGGTTTCTTCCATGTGAAGATCTGCATTGACTGTGCAACGTATCACCTTTCGTTGAGTACATCCCAGCAAAATCCATTATGCCTATTCATTTGCACAAACAAAAATAACTTAATTAGTGAACATAACGCAATCTTCATCCTGCACAGTAGCTTTTCAAAATAATTTGACATTTGAAAGAACACAATACAGCCAAAACATATCCAAGAAATGGACACCTACCTTTCAAGAACGTAAAATTCAATCATTGTATTTGAAGAAAATATGAAATAAGTAACATGAATATCAATCAAGCATTTCATGTGCTGATTACAGATTCAATATAATTCAAATTATCTTAAAGAAAATCAAACTATCTACTTGTGCTTCCTCCATCCCTATGTAATGTTTTTGTATTCTTTTCCGGGATGTCCCTAGATAAAGAACTCTTTCTTTATTTGATAAATAAAAATTCGTGGAAGTCAAAGTACGAACTTTATTCAGGCACATAGGGAGTATGTATTAAAAACAGTCGGCAACTATTCAGCCAAAACAGAATGTACAAACAGTAACATGAATTATGGTAGACTCTGCATGCAAGAACTCATGCTGATTGGTGTAGTATTTGTCATATGTTAATAATTTTGCTCTAATTTTTTGTCGTATGTATTAAAAACTGTACATAGAGTTATGCAGATAATTAGTTACTACAACACTCTACTGATGGTCCCTTTTTCCCCACCAAAAATCCATCATCTCTGCAAAAAAAAATTGACTATAAACGTTCATAATTTTAACAATAGGCTGAGAATAAAACGCAAATCTTTTTAGGTAAGTAAACGTAGATAATGTTGAATACTATTAAAATACAAATTATAATCTAATAAATACTAGTAACTCATATTTTCAAAACTGAAAAAGGATACAAATTATATTTACATCTGATTCGGCTGTTATCAAAAGGAGTTTTTTTAAAGGAAACAAAAAGGAGTTTATAATAAAAAATAGCACTAACAAAGTAAATACCTATCTGAAACATGAAATAAGATCTGTAGAGCCGTGTTTTACACGTCTTCGAAAACATATGGATAATATAGGATCTCTGAAGTAGCATTCCGGAATTGGAATTTAAAACTATGGATCTAAATATTCATTAAAGATAAATACATCAAGATCGGGTTCCATACCTGGTGATTGAATCCAATCTCTATTTCGGTTTTAATAATATTTGATAAGGTCGGTTGAAGCAGCGAAGACAGGAGATGGATGCACGGAGAATGGAAAAACAAATATTGCGGATGTGGAAGAAGAACTGTAAATTGAAATTTTGGACTTTGGACGACAAATGAATTCAAGAATATTTGATCATGCGGCGTTTGATATTACTACCGGTGAAGTTAGGTAAATTGTGGAAGAGGCGGTATAAAAAAGGCAATTTTTTATGCGTAAGAAAATAGAAATTAATAATCCAACTTTTTATCGCTCTTCTTACAATAGTTCCACATTTTGATTATTCAGGAATAATCCAATCTTTGCATCCCATCTTCATTCAACGGTCTCTGAACGGTTTATAATCTGCTATTCCAAGTTATTTTCTTGTATATGCAAAACATTATGTGACCATAAGGTTAGATTTATGTAGGGGTGGGAAAACCCGAACCGAAACCCAGAAACCGGCTCTGGCCCGACCCGAATTATGATATCGGTCCGGGTTTTTTCTTTTTGACCGGCCCAAATAAAAAATAAGGACCGAACCCGAAATTTCGGACTCTTTAACGGGCCGTAAAATCTATAACCCGACCCGGACCGATAAAACCCAAAACAATTAGCCTTAATATAAAATCAATATAATATACCAATATAATTTATAAATTAATTCCTAATATATGATTATAATAATGATAGATGAAAAAATGACTTAATAACTTTTTGTGACTACAAATATGTTCAATTTATTTACCGTAATGACCATGAAAACATATTTAATTTATAGTAACTTTAGTCACATTTTTATCCATAAATTTTATTTCATAACATTTTTAGAACGCCTATATTACCATTTTAAACAAAATATTATGATTATAAAATCTATTTTTATTAATTTTATTTGTGATTTGTACTTTTTATTAATTTTATTTGAAAATAGATTTTAAAATATAAAAGAAAAATGAGTGATTTCACATTCGGGCTTAAACCGACCCAGTCCGAACCCGGACTGAACCCGGGCTACAAAAAACCCGACTCGGACCGAATATAGTGGGTTTTTTTCGGTCCCTAATTTTCATAACCCGATGCCTTACGGGTAATTTCCGGGTTTAGCAAAAACCCGACCCGGACCGGACCGATCCCACACCTAGATTTATGGTATAACATATTGCAAAGATAAGAAAATAACTTGGAATATCATGTCATCAACCGGTTATGGACCATTGAATGAAAATGGGATGCAAAGGTTGGATTATTCCTAAATAATCAAAAGGTGAAACTATTGTAAGAAGACCGTCAAAAGGTTGGATTCTTAGTTTCCATTTTCCGTTTATATTAAACTTATTTAAATTACAAACTGATCTTAATTACGCAAATGCGCTAATGGAAGTCAAAATCAAGAAAAAGAGATCCTGTTAACAAACAAAATAGAGGTATCATCACCGAGAAGATAATTGGTAGTTAAACAATATTTTTATTTGGATTAGAATTTTCTGGTCTGTGCTGGTTTGGTTTGGTCTGGTTTGGTAAATGTCTGATGTATGTGTATTTTATAATTGTTCAAGTCTGATCAGATCTAAATGATCTGATATAATATGGGACTGAAAGCAGTCGAAGTAAAAACATCCTAAGATCACAACCACAAGGTATAAGGGGACAATTCGACTAGGGGTGGCAGCGGGTCGGGTTTATATCGGGTGAAGGCTCATCCGTCGTACACCCGTTAATTTTTCATAGTCCACTCACCCATCCATCATCCATTAAAATCTACATCCACATCCAACCCATCCATCATGAACGGGTTTTCGGGTGGATCGGTTGAGTAACAGGTGGATATAAAGGTCAAACTTGAAAGACAAAATAAATAAATTATAAAGAGAAATCATGACAAAAATTAAGAGTTCATTGAAAAATTACTACAAAAACTTGAGCAATTAAGAAAATTACAATCATTAATTCACTGGCGATGATAAAGAAAGAAGTAATTGTCAAAACAAAATAGACATAAAATTTCTTCAAGTTGTCAATTCTACATTTCTGCATCAACCCAAAACTATCACTTCTTGAAACTCTCCAATTGTCTTAAATTTCACCAACTCATAGTCATAGATATGTGTCTTCTCCATCCTGTCATTATTGACAAAAAACATAAGATTCATTATATAAAATTCACTGTCACTGCTTAGAGGGAGAATTAACAAAAAATGAATAAAAATTGAAGAATTTAATCATATTACAGAGTCAAAACATTCATTGGTAGCATTTTGATCCCCTTCCATATCCATAACTTCCATGATAGTAGCACATGCTTGGGTTTAGCCAAAGAAGTTTATGAAAATATTAAAAAAAAACATGTCAATTGTCACTATAATTAAAAAACAACTCAAAAACATATTTAATGAATATTAAATAAGTAGTATTTGTTAATATATTAATATTAATTATTATTATTACTATTATTAATATATATTATTAAATAGATATTATAATATATATTTATATGCGGGTCTGCGGGTGGACGGAGCGGGTGACGGGTTGGATGAGTGTTCATCCACACCTGATCCAACCCGTCTTTCAACCCACCCGTCATCCATTTTTTATCCATGTTTCTTCGGGTTTTCGTCCGTTTTTCGATTCGGGTTGACTGGTATCCGCAGGTGCGGGTGATATTGGCAGCCCTAAATTTGACAAACACAAAAACACATCATCATACTCCTCAACATCAATAGGTCGGGATCATTCCTCCTTGTAATCTCCCTCATCATTCTCATACTCAGCTTCTTCATTGGCACTGAACATTTCTCTCCCTTTTCTATGGTTCTCTACTCACGGATGACATGTTGTTCGACAAGTTCATTTGTGGGTGATTTTTTTAATTAATCAAGGCAAACCACCTCTCAAAAAGCAACCTCCACCACATGGATAGCACTTTGCACTTGCAATGGGCGATGAATAATGAGTATTTATGTTGGGGCTGCAATGGTGATTGGTGAAGATCGCATACAGACTTCCGCGTAGAACAATGAGCAGGCGAGCAAAAAGGAAGGAAGGAAGGAAGGAAGAAAGAAAGAAAGAAGGAAGAACTATCAAATAAGCCCTCGAACTTTCATAAAAAATGCAAATAAGTCTTTTTATAGGAGGTTTTGTCCGGCCGTCGCCATTTTGGGATGTTTTCGGTGGAATTTTTTGATGAATTTTTTTGAGTATCTTCTTCATTAAGTCTAGTTTATTCATACCAAATTTCAGCTAAACATTCAATCGGGAAGACAGTCAAATTAATTTTTGAAAATAACTGTGCAGTTAGACTGCGCAATATATTTCAGAAAATCATTTGACTGCCTTCTAGATTGAATTTTTAGCTGAAATTTGGTATGAGTAAACTAGACTTAATGAAGAAGATGCTCAAAAAAATTCATCAAAACATTCTACCGGAAACCACCCCAAATAGCATGAGCCGGACAAAACCTTCTCTAAAAGGGCTTATTTGCACTTTTTATGAAAGTTCGAGGGTTTATTTGATAGTTCTCCCTTCTTTATGAAAGAAGAGGGGAAATAGCAATGTGGTAAAAAGCATGGCGTTGTTTTGCCAAACTAAAAAAACATGAAAATACGAAAATATTTCTTTAAATATTTTGTGCTTTACCTCTATTTATAAAAAAGGTTTGTGCTTACTCATACTTCTAACAATTAAATTACTTTATATGTAGCTTTTGTATATGCAATGTCTACATAATAGAATTTTAAAAAGGTAACTACCACATGCCGTTTAACATTGCATACAAAATATGATAGTAACTCATTCCCAATTTTAGTATACTTTACGATGACAACCAACATAAATCAAGAGCAAACGATATGACATGTTGGACTATATTTGAAAACAAAGAGAGTTCTCACACATGGACAACTAGATGTGGTGGTTGGTTTCTAGAGTGAAGACTGAAGAGTATAACTGGACTAAAAAATATCGAGTAGCAGAAGGGTGCAACACAATGGTAATTGTTGCGGTCCCTTTGTCCCTGAATAAACTTCCAAACTCCCATTTTCGTTCGTCCTAATTAAACTTTCACTTTCCCTTTTGAACAAATATTTTATGATTCACAACATTTCGCGCACATTTTTGTCAAATATATATTTTTCTATTGAATCATATCAAAGATATTCTGCGCATTACTATTTTCATTCATCTCTAATGATATTAGTTTGCATACTATGCACCTTGTAAACTAATATGTGAGATAGCAATCAAAAAATATACACATCAATAATCAGGATCCTCTACCGCACAGCAGGGTCCATGGCGCAAATCGACGGCAAAGAAGAAAGAAGCAGGGCATTGGGATCGACAAACAAGGCATTCGGATCAGCAAACAACGCATCGGAGGACCATAAATGGCCAGGCACCCTACCTGGCGGCAAAATCCAGGCAGAGAAACCGGATCCAAAGATCTTAATCAAAATCAAATTGAACTACAGTCTTCCGAGAACATGTGTTAAATGTTACACTAATTAATACTCCCTCCGTTTCTGAAACAAGTTCCACATTTGACTTCACACATATTAAGAAAATAAATTTGACTTTACTGTGGAGTGCACTGTTTGGCACTATTTGAACACTGTTTGACACTGTTTGAACATTGTTTGACACTGTTTGACATTGTTTTGATGTAGATAATTTGTCAAATAAAGAAATGTTTGAAAGTGGAACTTAATTTTGAATCTGCCCGAAAAGGAAAGATGGAACTTGTTTCAGAAACGGAGGGAGTAAATAAAAATGAGTATAAAATAATTTGGATAGTGGTGCTACAATGTGACTCAATATTTGTACTTGCTTAGCACAACATAATACTCCTTCCGTCCCTTAAAACTTTGTCATCTTTCCTTTTTGGGACGTCCCAAAAAACTCTGCAACTTTCCGTTTTAATCAATTATTTTGTGATTTCTATTTTTTCTCTCTCCTCTTCACAAATCTCAACAACACGGTTTTTACTTTATTATTCTCCGTGCCGGTCAAATTTGGCAAAGTTTTAAGGGACGGAGGTAGTAGAATTTATTTCCTTGATCTAGCATAGGGATGTATTTTTAAATATGCAATAGTCAATAATAATTTATACATAAAAAAATTGAATATTAATTTGAAAATAACTTTGAAACAAATAAGATAATTGGTGACACATTATCATTTTTGATGATTTTAATTAGTATATTGTTTCATATAGGTTATGACCATTATGTAGTGTAACTATAACTCCCCGCCATCCCAATCATAAAAGAGTTCAATTTCAAACAACTTTCGTGAAAATTAACATTTTACTCCGAGTCACCATTTACCCTGTCTTTTATATGTAAGACAAAGCTTTTAAAATGATTCATTTTAAATTACCGCACAAAATTACCATAGAAGACAAATACAAAACATATGTGAAAATTATTTAACCATTACTGCTTCTCATGTTCGAATGTATATAAAAAAAGTCACGATTTCGACAATATAAAATAATTTAAATGCTCTTCGATAAGTAATTTAGGTGAGTGAATGAGTCTATGATATAATTTAGAATCGATGACAACAATATTGTTATGAAAAATCAATTTTAATACTCCGTATATGATAATAAAACTGTGAGGATAGTATGTCAATTAGGATGTTTTTACTTGGATTGTAATTCGTCCCAGACCAGACCAAATCAGACCAGTTCAGACCAGACCAGACCAGTTATAAAAATACAAAGAAACCAGACCAGACCAGACCAGTTCAGACCAGACCAGACCAAACCAGATCAGACCAGACCAACAAATTACAGTCCAAGTAAAAACATCTTGATGAATTGAAGTTTACCACACAAAAACTAACTGAAATGAAATCAAAATCTTGATGTAAAATATTCAAACCAGGCTCGTGAGAAGTTAAAACTAGTCTAGTATTGGGCCGGTTAACGTATGGGCGGTATGGCCCAAATGTTTTCTACGGTTACTACACATAGAAACGTCCCCCTTCGGTTTCTGCCTCCCCCCATTCGACAATTCAGCCTTCCTCATCCATCCAGGTATTCTTCTTTCATACGTTCCATCTTCCCATTTCCCACCTTATAAGCTATTCTCCAACAACAAAGACCATGGCTGGTTCAAATTATCCATATTTGAAATAAAACCATCAAGTCTAGTTGATTATTTTATCATTAATGAAATTTTAGATGTTTGAAATTCTGAATCTGAAACACTAGTCCACAGATCCTCTATTAGCCCTATATTTTGTACAAGTATTTTCTTGAGTAATTTGTTTCCGATTTTTTATTTCATTTGCTTGTAATACATTTTAATGTTTGTATCTTTGTATTTATACTATCTACTCCCCTCAGTCCCACAGTAAGACTCCGGAAGAAATGGGCAACCATGAATGAAGAAATTAAGAAAGGAAAGTTATGTGATTTAGATTTATATAGAAAAACAGAAAAGGTCAAACACACTTTTTCACTCTTGAAAATGTGAGGGAGTCAAATTCTGGGATACCTAAATATGGAAGGGGAGATTTAAATTGGGGTGCAGGGAGTATTGCGGTAAGAAGAAAACTGCATTTTTAGCGTCTCAGGCCAGATAGAATTTTACGCAGAGATGATGTTGTGAAAAAATGAACATTTTTTGTAAATTTTTAGTGATAGCACGAGCTGTGTTTACCCCGTATTATGTGGATAGGGATGAATCTGAAAAGCTTTCATTTTCTTTTGCGAGCCTGAAATTTCCAAAGTAGCTGCCATGAATTCATTATTGCTAAAGTTAATATGTTTTTAATTGGACTGAAATTTCTTGGATGATCTGTTTGTTTATATGTCTGGCCTGTTTATTTTTTAGTCTGCTCTGGTAATCACGTGGTCTATATTTATTTCAAAACATCCTTAGTCTTACCAAGTGATCTGCAAAAAACATCCTTAGTCTTACCAAGTGATCTGCAAAAAACATCCTTAGTCTTACCAGTCCGCATCCCACTGCTGTACACTTGATGAAAACAACGGTCTAAAAAACAAAGCAAATAATGAGAAAATTGGTGGCTACTTTAACAAAAAGAATCTTGAGTCCTTCACACTCGCAAGGAAAGGTCCCCCACCTATATTCCTCCCTAAGGAGGAAATTGACAAAGCAAACTGAATTATTGTAAGTTGACAGATTTGTTTAACAATGTAATGATGTATGCACATGTGTACTAAAACATGGGTGAGATGGATAAAAGTGTAATGTTTTACGGAGTAATTGTTAAATATTTTAAAAATTGTTATTTGGAAAGTATTACTTTCAAGTTTCAACTTTTCAAAAATTCTACTCTATAATTTGGAAAGATTACTCTAAACAGCTGTTATTGACGATCCCTTTCATCTTAGGTGTTGAAATGAATTCCACAGCACCTATCCCCGAACTCCGCCCATTTTCAATCAAACTCTGGCCCCCAAGTGAAACCACTAGGAAAATCTTGGTGGACCGGATGACCAACAACCTGTCTACACCGACCATTTTCACCCGCAAGTATGGTAGTTTGAACAAGGATGATGCTCATGAAAAGGCCCAACAGATTGAAGGCATTGCATTTTCTGTGGCTGACCGTCACTATGACAAGGAGCCTGATGGTGATGGGAGCTCGGCAGTCCAGCTTTATGCTAAAGAGTGTAGTAAGCTCATCATAGAAGCTCTGAAGAACGTCCCTAAAGGTATACTTTGGATCACATCAAGTTATATTTTATGTTATGTATTCTGATGAAAAATGTTAAGAATAATGAAATATGATTTTATATATCATTTGATTTTCTACCCTAAATCATTTGGGAATAAGGCTTGGATGTTGTTGTATATGATTTTTTACCCTATATAATAGACATTAAACAATTAAAATGAGTACCAACAAATATAAGATAAATTCATTGTGTGCCCATTTGTAAATTTTATTTGGTTGAAATTGTTGAATATGCGGATAATTGTAAAATCCATTTCAGCCAAACAAGTCAAAAGAACCTTACTCTCTTAACAAGCCAATTATGGCTACCAAACATAGTGTCAGTTTAAGCCTGTCTTTTGTTTTTCCCTGCATTTTTTTCCACTCTAACTTTTGTCTGTGTTTTAATTCATTTTCCCCAGTATTTTCTGACTTTCAAACGGAATCTAAGAGTGATGAGAAAGAGACCCTGCAGTCTAACACTGCTCCTACTTCCTATGATACTGTTTTTGATATCTCAAAGGGTAAAAGGGAGTTTATAGAGGCTGAAGAAGCAGAGGAACTTTTGAAGCCATTGAAAGAGCCAGGAAACACTTACACAAAGATATGTTTCAGCAACAGAAGCTTCGGGTTAGGAGCGGCCCACGTCACAGGGCCCATCTTGGAATCCCTCAAGGCCCAACTCAAGGAAGTTGACCTGTCAGACTTCGTAGCAGGTAGACCAGAAGCAGAAGCTCTTGAAGTCATGAAGATATTCTCAGAATCTTTAGAAGGTTGTGTCTTAAAGTCTCTCAATCTGTCAGACAATGCATTAGGGGAGAAGGGTGTAAGGGCTTTTTCCAAGCTCCTGAAATCCCAAACCTTACTGGAAGAACTGTTTTTGATAAATGATGGTATTTCAGAGGAAGCCGCACGGGCAGTTTGTGAATTAGTTCCTTCCACAAATAATCTTAGGGTTCTTCATTTTCACAATAACATGACGGGTGATGAAGGAGCCATGGCTATTTCTGAGATGGTGAGCCGTTCTCCGTCATTGGAGGATTTCCGGTGCTCTTCAACTAGGGTGGCATCTGAAGGTGGTAGTGCTTTGTCTAAAGCACTCGAGACATGTACTCATCTCAAGAAGCTTGATTTGCGGGACAACATGTTCGGGTCCCACGCCGCTGAAGCATTGAGTGAAGCACTCTCCAAACATGAAAACCTATCTGAGGTTTACCTTTGTTACCTCAATTTGGAGGACAAGGGAGCTGCTTTGATAGCCAATGCACTAAAGGAGTCTGCGACATCACTTAGAGTATTGGAAATAGCGGGAAATGATATAACTGCTGATTCTGCAGTTGTGTTGGCTACGTGTCTGGAGGGTAAGGAGTTTCTCGAGAAGCTCAACTTGGCTGAGAATGAACTCAAGGATGAAGGGGCAATCCGGATCGCAAAGGCTCTTGAGATCGGTCATGACCGTTTGAGGACTGTCGATATGAGCTGTAACTCAATGGGAAGGGCTGGAGCACATGCGCTGGCTCAGGCTGTTGTGGGTAAACAGGAGTTCGAGCTGTTGAATATCAACGGGAATTTTATATCGGATGAAGGTGTTGATGAGGTGAAAAAGATATTCAAGAAGTTTCCTGAAAAGCTCGACACGTTTGAGGATAATGATCCTGAGGGTGGAGATGATGATGATGAAGATGAGAAGGGATCTATAGAGGAGAGTAATGGTGATAGTGATGATGAAATTGGTTCGAAACTCAAAAACCTTGGTGTTAGCGGGGACGAGTGAAGTCCACATATCCCCAATCATTCTAATCCTAGAACTTCCCATCTTTTGTCATTTTTTCCAAATTTAAATGAGATTGAGCAGGCTTTAAAAAAATGCCATAGCGCAAATCTTGGAGTTTATGTAGAACAACTCTACTAGTTCATTCTGTTGTAAGATTTTTAGACTTGTATTGCCATCGTTTCAATGCACTCCGTCTAAAATGCCTACAATGCTTTTTTGGCAAACAAACAACTTGTGTTAATCTCTGATAATCCATAGCAAAACGCTAAGGATATGCTAGAGTACAAAGGTCAATAATGCAATAAACATACCAAACAAACTCTTGGACAGAAAAAGCAACCCCAAAAGAACTACTACCTCCATCTTTTTTAGTTAACCATTTTTAAAGTTTTGGCAAACATGAAAATGAATGTATTGCAATTAAAAAACTAAAAAAAGAATGAAAGGACTATATTTTGTAAATCTTATAAATCTTATACTTTTATGATAATAATTTTTTTAACAAAGAACATATCTATATCATTTACATATTATATATACTTCTCTATATAAACAAATCATCAACCACAAACGCATGGTTTAGTATCATTGATTGAAAAAAATGGAGTATATTTTACAAGTGACAAACACAGTAATTGTAAACAGTCCTATGTTAAAGACATTATATGATGCTCCATTGATTTGATTGACGGTATTTTCCATCTCTTTCAGAAAAAATAATGCCCCAAGTTAGACAGAACTTATTTCTTGTTTTAATGATGTGGTTAGGATATACCTAGTATGTTGCCCGACGCACACACTTTATACCTTGTTTTAATGTTGTAAACATTTTTTTTCATTGTTGTAAACTGAATTGTCAATGACAGATAAAAAAGTTATCTATGACAAACAATTTATCTTATAAATGGTATGGAAGAAAAGTTGTCTATGCACAAACAAAAGGAGATGTATATACGACATTTATGGGTTTGGACATGTACAAAAGGAATTATTGTAGGAAATAATAGGAATAATTAACAAGAAACTGTTGGCCAATTAGTCATTCATAATAGTTTGCAAATCAAATTTGGCGATGCGTGTTTAGTCATATGCAGAATACAACCATCCATAATTACGAGTTAGTAATCTGCTATATCTTTTATTACCAATAAAGGAAAAAACGACTGGAGGCATTGTAACAAAGTGCATTCATTAAGTGTATATGTACAGATGTATACAAAATATATGTATAACTTAACATAAAATAAGTAGATACACTAAGGTTCTGGTCTATATGAAGAAGTTCTATTGGTGGTCTCAAAATCCAAAAAAATTATGGAGGTGTTATCTTTGGTCCTTAGCGTTCTCGCCTCACTCAACAAAAAGTTTGCTACCTTTTCTGCTGTGTTCTCTTCATTCATCGAATTTCGCTGTTTTGACTGCAAAACAAGAAATCATAGACAAGGTTTTTTACATCATAAGATTGAAAAACCTTGGGCAAAAGCATTTCCAATCCAGCAACAATAGGTTTATAGGGGTGGAATTTGTTCTGGCTAGACCATATAATACTTTCCAAGTCCCGAGAACTTCATATAAAAATCCCTGATATTTCAGAACCCCACCAAAAAGTAAATTTCAAATTGGCAATCCAGCAAATTAGTGTTGACGTGACAATTTTATAAAATTTCAAAAATATAAACATGCCTTTTCAAACGAAAAATTCCAATGGTCTGATTTTTTATGTTCTATACATAAAATGCATTTTTGCATTTTCAAAGACTAACAAAATTGTCTTGTCGCCACTATTTCAGTAAAGCCCCCTATTTGAACAACACTTTCCTGCATAATCTTGCATATTTCAGTCACTTTGGCACATAATTCTAGACTTAAGAAAGCAATAGGTCGAAATTGCCAAAAAAGAATTTGAAGGGACTATTATTATTTCCAACCCCATACTTCACCCCAGAACTTTGGTAGAAATGAAAGTGTGACAAACAAGGAGAAATTTACTTGTTGGACAAGTTGAACAGCCTTCCTGGTATTTACCACATCCCAGAAGCCATCACTGGACACACGTGCACAAAGTTAAGTTAAAATTGGCATAAGGAGCGTTTATCTTTGCTTCACTTTTGAAAAATGATTTATTTTAGATTATATTAAAGTGATTAATAGTAAAAGTTGATAGTGTTTGAAAAGAAAAGTGATTTAAAGAGTGTTCAGTACAAAAAGTATTTTTTGTGTAACAGAAAAAGTGAATAGCAGTTTATAGCACCCCTCCAACTGCTTCTAGTTTTAAAGAGATAAATTTAAACAGAAGTACATATTTAAAAACACTACTTTAGCTTTGTTAAGAAAAGGAAAGCACTCTCATAGTGAAATAAGACCGTGGAAAAAGAGTAGTTTTAGGAAAAGAATAGTAATAGTAGTAATAAGGGCAACCTAGCCAGCAATGCAAAGCCTGTGCTAGTCTGATGCATGTATACAACTTGACTTATATAAGGTTCTGAACTGAAGCGTTTATCCTGCTGTTTTAGAAATTTGTCCCCAAGCATCCTAGCCAGGTTTAAACCTGTACATAGATTTAGAAGCAACGAGTGATTCTTACCATTTTACAAAAAAAAAATACAAACTAACTTGCTACAACTATCATCTATTAGAAAGTCACATTTCTAATGTATCTTATCCATTTTCTTTAACAAAAGGAGTCGCTTACAGTACAATTGATGACTACTCCCTCTATTTGTGGTTGGGGGAAGAAAGGTGGAGGTTTGATTTTATTTTTACTAATTTATAGTTTTATACTACCTCCGTCCCAAAATTAACTTCCCATTTCGGATTACGATGTTTGACCGACGATAAAGCAACTCGATCCCTGTTCATACTCAGATTACTTTTAGTAAATAAAATTTACATATTGTGAAACTACATTAAAACCGCTACAAAGGCTGATAAAAAAAAATATAAGTTTGATAAAAAATTGATATATAAAACATAAGATTAAGAGTAATTTAAGTTGACCATATGAATAGTGACTGTGAAGTTCATTTTGTGACGGAGGGAGTACAATAGTATGTATTTTGTAAATCTTAGCTAGAAAGGCTGTTTGGTAGCGTTATTTTTCAGCTAATCAGCCAATTTTTAAACAAGCATTACTTTTTTACTCTGCATGCTCAATTGAGTAACAATTAGAAAAAATGAGTTAGAAGGTATTTTTTGGCTAAAATGGATGAAGTTGCATAGGATGACCAAGCGTGTATTTTTTCCATTATTTATTAATAAATGAAGTCTAATATAATATTTTCATATTTCAGCAAAGTGAGCAAACTCGGGCAATTTGGTCAAGCCTTCAGCAACTTCGCCCATTCTAAGCGTTACCAAACAACATCTAAATACCACCCTGCCTTCTCCCTCTGAAATCTCCCAAACAAACATGGTCTTAAAGACATGCATTAAACAATTTACATTGTTCATAAATAAGTGGTCCTTTAGCAACCTTACCCTAAAAATGGTGATCCTTTAGCAACCAAATGAAGCAAAACAAAGTTACAAAATAGACAGGCTATGTTGTCCTTCCAAATTCATTTCACTTTCGCTTGTTACTTTTTATACCTAGAAATCAATAGGAGTATTCTTTCATTTTATTATACATTTATACGTACTAATTATCACCTCTAAGGTCATATTTTCACCCATTATATTATACTTATTTGAGAACGGATGGAGTAGTAAATTCGAACAATGACAAAATTATAAAAGTCATATCTTAGTTACATGACTCACTATTTGGGAAAGAGGGCATACTTTAAAGAAAAAGTGAAAGCACGGGGTAAATACCGCATAGACGTGTTTCTCCTTCCTTAAGAGGTTCTCCTGTGGCTTCAATGCGGAGTCGTTCAGAATAACTACTTATTCTGTGATCTTCTGTCATTTTTATCTGATTCCCATCAATACTGCCACACAATATTAGGGCATTTTACTCCATCTTTGAGGTTTAACCAACACCTCAACAGCCATTAATTAATCTTTTAAAATATAATAACTGAAGTGTCTTCACTTTATTTGTTGCTCACATATGTTAATAACGAAAAAAGTATTATAGTTCTGTTTCCACTTGACAATTTGCAGCTGGTAGAAAGAATTTTAAAAAGAAAGATTAATTTTCACACAAATGATAGACATACATCGTATGAATCGGTGGAATTCACAAAGATGATGAGACAACATACTTTACAAGACAAGCTGAATCACCAACATTTGCACATTGAGCGTAAAAATTTTCATGACCATCTGCCCAAACCAGAAGCATTGTAGCTGTACAACCCTGAAATATTTTTTTTATAATTGATACACATTAGGTCTGTGTACAAGCACAAACAAGAGAGGCAGTATAAGTGTCAACGTTGCGCCCATGTCATTGCTATAATGTGATAGAGGCATCAAACTGAACAAAATTCAGGTAGAGGGACTAATTAAAGAAAGGAAATAGTACAAGGACTCGCTAGATATGTTGACATAAGCATGTATTGCAATGAGCATATGGTATTCACCTCATATATGCTTTAATAGCATATAAAAGCAAAAACAGAACTATTAATCAAACATATAGCTAAAAACGAGAAACAATTGTGGGCCCCAACCTCATAGTAGTGATCCATGCATGCTTCCGCTTGAGAAAATGCTTCTCTAAGGACATTTGAAGCATCACATTGTGATAAAACTGACTCCCTTGTAAACGAATCTGACAAAATGCTAGTCACAATTTGCGGCAGTAGTCTGGTAAGCAAAAATAATAAAGCAGATATTAAACCATATTGCACAATATTTACTTATACTCAATGCAACTCTGCTGGTGATGAAAGTGACATTTTAAACACATCATAAAACATGATGAATGTGCCAGATTCAACATGTGGACAATCAAGAAAATGTCAAAATCTTCAATGTCAATGTTTGTTCTGAGAAATCTAAGCTGAAACAGTTTTTATTCTCCAAATTCAACAAATTCAGATATGTTCTCCTGACCAAAGTAACTTGCAGCAAAAAAATCACTAGATTGAAATTTAACATATGTGCAAGTATACATGTGGAAGTAAATAAAAACAAGAAAAAACACTAGTTCAAACAAGTTTTCTTTTTCTAATATGTTGGTGTAGCATTAGATATAGAGAATAATCGACCCAAGCCTAATGAAGCGGAGAACCATGACTCTGGTTTACTTTAACACTCCCACCTCAAGTAGGAGTGTTCATATGCTCCAAGCTTTACATACAAGTCAAACTTGGCCATTTATTTGGTTTCATTTACTTTAATAATTCAATTCATGTTGCGCACCAACTGAGTTAACATACTGGGTTGTACCGGGAGGTAAAGTACAGTGAAGTCAAGTAAGTTGAAAGCCATTAGGCAACACATGCATGTAAGCACTGTAATGGTATTTTATTATATCAATTTGAAGTCGGGAGTGATACAAATAATAAGAAAAAAGTGGTTCAGATATTCAGCATGGTATCAAATATTCATATCACATCTCCAAGATATATATATATATATATATATATATATATATATATATATATATATATATATATATATAAAGACACAGGCTTTAGGTCAACTTCTTAGAGATCGAAAACCAAGTTCAACCCATCAAAGGTCGACAGATCATGAAGTCTACCATGATACCATCCTATGGTAAAGTACAGTGAAGTCAAGTAAATTAAATACCATTAGGCAACAAGCCAACAAGTAAGTTAAAAGCCATTAGGCAACATATGCATGTAAGCACTGTAATGGTATTTTATTATATCAATTTGAAGTCAGGAGTGATACAAATAATAAGAAAAAAGTGGTTAAGATATTCAGCATGGTATCAAATATTCAGATCCCATCCCTAAAATATTTATATATAAACACACAGGCTCTAGGTCAACTTCTTAGAGAACGAAAACCAAGTTCAACGCATCAAAGGTCAACAGATCCTGAAGTCTACCATCCTATGTCAGTCACAAAAGTTTATCCCATCAGAGATCATTCCTAATAGGTTTAGTTCAATGCCAATAAGTCTCCAGAATTCTTACATTCCTTTTATATGTGCTACACACTAAAACTCTTGATCTTTTGGCATTGCTCATCCTAAAAAGCTATTAATTTTTCCTTCCAAATTTAAAGTAAAGACCTAAAGATACTGTCTTATTACTTATTTTTATCACTCTTCCTCCCAGTATATTGGAAAAATACCACCATTTACATGGTTACACCATCAGACATAATTACCAATGTTGCTAGGTAAAGTCTTCGGCCAAGTGATAAGGCAATTCTGGCAAAAACATCATGTATTCCTATAGGAACACAGACAAATTCGAGTTCATACTTATGTGATACGTTTGGAACTTAACAGCTCAGACAAGGGTAGTTACAGGGGAAAATGCACTAATAAAATGGTTGATTTCTGTTGGATTTTGTATAGGAAAACACTAAAGATATGTTTACTTCACTGTTAATTTCACTGTTAGCTTATTAACACAGGTGGAGTAAACAATTTTTTGGAAAAATGGAAGTCGCCAGAACATCGTACCCCATACCCCTTATCCACACCCAAACCCTACCCCACAACATCCTACCCCTCTATCCCTACCCTACCCCCATGTACGCCTACCTGTGCCCCATACTCGGGGGTAGGGGGTAGCGGTTGGGGTGGGGTAGGGTGTGGCAGCTGGGGTGGGGGTGAGAGAGGTAGGGATGGGAGTGGGAGTAAGGAGAGGATAAAATCCTTGAAGGTTATAATTGACATTTCAAAGTTAAATCATGTTTTAATCAATACATCGGTCTCGTGAAGTAAACATATGTTTACATATATTAAGCAACTCTTATTAAAGAGCAGGTTAATAAAACATGTTTTGATAAACAATGCTTAATAAGACGTGAAGTAAACATGTCCTAATGGAAAATTAAAGTTGATTAAATATTTTTTGATCATTTCTATACATTAATTTATATTTCTTAGCCTTCATAGTTCAGATAGTTGAAACTATTTTCTCTCGCCATCATTTTTTGCATGCCAAACAGAACCTTACTGCTACAGCGGAGAAAAACAATAAAATACTAACTTGCTGGCAGACGTGGCAGCACCAGCTCCACCATGTCCATCACATATACCAAACATTCCAAACTGCAATAAACATTTACACAATATTTTATGAATCTTTAGTTCATGCAAGTTCATGTTTCATATATGATGATGACTAAAGATAAATACATAAAAAAGATTCAAATGAATGACCTGATCAGTCCCAGGAAGAGGCCATTGGTAAAAAGAGACATCTTCCATGGGCAACTTTTTTGCTCCTCGACGTAGTGTCATTGGATCAGATGCCAGACCAACCCCGAACGGAACATGGCATTCAGATAGGGACGAAATCTGCACCTAAGAAGCGTTTGGAAAGGATATGAAAACAAAAACTATTAGTTCTTACAAACAAAATGAAACAATTTTCCTCGCAAAAAAATGAAACAATTTTTTGTGTTGATTTAAGAAAGCGCCATATTGGACGTTTTGAGGGGAAAACATTTTTAGTTCTTAAATGAGAAAGCACTTCTAGTTTTGAAAAACATATAGCATTTGACATCCCAAACAAACTCTGTGCAGCAGTGCTAAACAATATTAACTTACAAGCACTTTTGAGCTTGTCCCTAGAGTTATTATATCTCCATTTGCAAGCTCAACTGGATCACCCCACTGTCTATTTCCTGAATGAGAATTATGTGCTACACGCGAGTTCACAAGTGTGCCATTCAAGCTACCCATATCAACCAGCTCCCACTTCAATTTCTGGAAAAGAAATAAGAGGCGGTAAATATACATGCACACACATACATATTATTGCATTACAGATTTTCCGAACCCCATACATTTAAATTCCAGTTTATTAGGGCATGTTTTCCAGAAACTTCTGAATCCTTCAAAAGGATATCACTGGGCCCTACTCTTCCGAGACTAAGTGGAAGCTTGGATGTGTTACTTGACTGTACTGAATACCGAAGGCCACAAGAAGGGCCCGATATCACCTCCAGCTTAAGGCCACTTCCTGCACTTCTAACAAGAGCATATGATGAAATGTTTTACATTATGGCATCATGATGACAAAAACGTAAGAAAAAAATAAAAAACTGCTTATAATTGATAAAAAGTTACTTTGATCAGTGGTATACTTCGGAACAAACTCCATAAGTTTCTTAGCATCTTCATTTTTTCCTTGTTTTAACTCTTCGTGAAACTGAGTTATCCCGTCCGGCTTAAGTGTTTGCCCCAGTAACGTATTATCTTCTGAAGTATCACCAATATCAAGGACAAAACTGTCACCTGAAAGGAAGAAGCTATTGTTAACTTCGGCACAGTTTGGAACTGGGAAATTAGTAGGGAAAGAAGATATGGAGGAAAATGTTAACGCAAACACTCAGTGGAGGAAAGAAGATAAGAAGATATGGCTGAGTTATCCACTCATCAACATCATCATTACCCCATTGGCGCAAAGGCTCCCACCTACGGTGGGGTAAAGGGGGGTCGAATGTATGCAATCTTACGGTCTTACCCCTGTACTAAAGCACAAATAGACTCCACTCAATAAATTTATTTTAGATATCTGTTCAAACTTGTTTTTATCCTTCATTTCCATCATCTATCACATTAAACCTAAGATATCTAAATATATGAAAAAATAGAAATTAACTATAATTGTTTTTCCTTTGCATTTTCCAAGCCAAAGCTGAGCATAAGAAAAATAGTTTTGCAACATATTTTTCACTTCCCAAACTATTTCTGCGACCTAAACATGCCCTTCATCTAAAAAAGGACAAGAAGAAAATAAAAAACTAAGTGGTGGTTAGTTACATACTGTGTTTCAAATGTGATGCTGTAGATGGGAGCCTTTGTTTAGGGACAAGTTTGTGGGACCTAGGAGACCCGAAAGTTTGTTGAGTATGATGACCTGGACTCTCCAGAGAATGGCTTCTACTGAATTCGCCGCCCACATCAAAATCATCTGATATAAAAGGCCTCTCCACATCTTCAGCCTATAAAACTCAGTATTGCACACAAAATAAGCTAATTTCATAGAAAAGACTTCACATTTATCAAACACTTCGATACCCTTTACATCACAGTTCTTTTTGGCCACTAATTCGGTATGGTACACACTAATCCAGCTAATACCACAATACAAGGAATCAACACAAATCAGCGCAGAATATTTTCGTAAAAACAGTCAAGAATTCAGCAGTCTTTTAAGGCGGTTCTTTTCCATTTTAGAAAAAGCAAAGACAAAAAAAATGGAAAACCCCAAATTCGGGGGGGGGGGGGGGGGGGGTTGGGTATATATGATCCATGATATATACGAACAAGAAGAAGAGAGAATGCACATTAGGCAGGAAGAAAGAGGGATATGAGCGGTACCTTGATCGCGGTGCGGGAGCGGGAAACGGCGGAGGCGGATGGAAGTAGGGAGGAGAGGAAGCGCCATGGCTTGAATTTGCAGGCGATGAGGATGAAGAGGAGGATAAGGAGGAGCATAACAGCAGAAATTACAAGAAGGCCCCCCACGGAAACCGCAATGCTGCTGAGAAGGAGAGTGGTGTGGGTGAGTGAGATGGTATGAGCAGCAGCACCTGGCAACGCCTTCGCCATCGGCGGAGAGAGAGATAGGGGGAACAGTGTGTGACCGTCCAATGCAATGTACACAACGAACAAACCAAATGAAACGAGGATATGAGATCCAATCACCTCTTTCTCGCGACAACCCCGGTTCTTTGCAGAAATCTTCACGACATCTTTTTCATTTCTTTTTTTCTTTTCTTTACATTTTTACAGTGATTTCTAAATTGGATAGCGGCCTCGAAGAAAAAAGAATTCAACAATTCTTGCAAAGACATAAATGAGGCACTTGAAATATTTCTAATGCACATCTGAGATATAGACACAAACATACAAATAAATCAGTAACATTTCTTTTTCTTTAATTTCACAGTTTAATATATTTTGGTAACTTTTTTCAACAATGTCAACCAATGTTTACGTCCAGACAATCTTCTTTAAATGATCACTCCTTTTGATAATCCATAAAAAATCCAACCTTTGTATAAAATCTTCCTTCTTCAGCCCCGCTGACGGTCATTTAACTCAAAAAATAAAACATAACATCATCCCTTTTTACCTTCAATTAAAAATTACCATGAATTAAACCTATTGACTAAGTGGGACTAAGTGTACCCCGGCCGGAAGATGAAGGAGGGTTAGCGACGAACATTACGCGGTGGAAGAGAACCCAGCTAACAGTGATACTGATAGAAGACGACATCTTTGGCCATCGATTACGGTTGATTACATGTAATACTGTTAGTCCCCTAGATTTTGATAAACAGTTATTGATGATGCCAAAAGCTCTTCTGTGTTCCCCCCTCTTTTATAGCACTAAGAAGTCAAGATATTGTATCTATCTCCAACCAAGTACTAGTGAAATATTATCCAAAAAGTGTCTCATCCGAACTATCAAATTAACAAATAAATATAACTGGAAAAACATAAAAAACAATAAGGTAATATTCTATTATCTTAAAAAGGATGTCACATAAATCCAACCAGTTAAATTTATTTGTAACATCAAACATTTCGAACAAATAAACTATTTATTAGAACTGGAATACAAAATGCAATAAGGTAATATTCTTTACCTTAATAGGATTTGTTATCCTACCAGTTAAATACTTGGTTTACGTTCGGAATAAGGGATGGGCTATACACAACCAAGAGTGACCAAAAGTCAAAAGAAAAATATTTGTATCAAGTAAATTATACCGGCAAAGTCAAAATGCAATAAGGTAATTCTTACCTTAAAAAGGATATTTAAATCCTACCGGTATATATTTACTTTATCACAAATTAAATTCGTCACAAAAAGGAAAAGACACATGGTGGGCATCAGAAGTTGATTTATCCTGAAATGACACATAAATGTACAATTTGCTGATACAAATAAAATATTACCGGAAAAGTAAAAATGCAATAAGGTAATATTTATTTACCTTAATAGGATATTTTAGATCCTACCGGTATATTTTATCTGTACACAAATTTTCTTGGTCACAATAAGAGAAAGGCCCGAAAAATCATACACTGAATATGTATGATTGGAAGACAAAACTATATCTGCCTTAAATGCTAAAAACAGGTACATGGACCTACACGCATGGGACGCACACCTTCAAAAGATGCCCGGCGATTATTGGAGACAGAAACATCCTCCATAAATACTGCAGCACAAGAGACAAAAGTACTGCTCGTACTCGCCAGAAGTTCAACGGTAGAAATCAAACTATCCTAATCAACGGATAAGATTGATCAGCCAAATACCTATAAATAGAGGCTGAGACGAAAGTTTCTAACTAAGCCTGAGCATCCTATGTAGAGAAATATTTCACTGAGCAAGAAGTGTTATTCTATCCACGACTCTCTACTTAGACTCTTGCTTCACTAAACTTCTGAGTATCAAGTATTAATTGTCCAAAATCCTAGAAGTTTAGTTCCTAGTTGGAGGTTAGAACTTTCTTGTAACCACAATCAGAAATTGTTGCAAACACTTCAGGAGGACAGTTGTTCCCGGCCTGAGTGTAGTTAGATAGGTTAGGAGTACCTTTTGATCCCCACTGGATCAATTGAGAAAAACCTAAAGGATTGAGTAGCTTGGGGTGGTGTTGTACTCCTCGTGAAACACCTTCAATCTAGGCCAGAGTTGTCAAGGCTAGATTGACACTAAATGTATTGAGCTTAATACATTAGTGAAATCCATTTGAAATAGGATGGGACTGGATGTAGGAGGATTACATCACCTCTGAACCAGGATATATCGTGTGTTGATTTCCTTAGTCAACAAAGCACACACCCAACACTTCTCGTATAAGAAATTGTAGTTTGCCAGCAGCATTTTAAGCAGTTGTCTTAACTGACCCAACTGCTTATCCTACTGCTTAATCACTCACCTTTTCTTGAGATAACCTTTTCACAAGAGCTTCGCAACATCACTGTCTAAAGGTACACTTTGCCAGAAATCACTTCTCTTACTGAAGCAGGTGGCTCAGCAGTTCCTTGGTTTCGCTCAACTGCAAAGACCTCTGCTCAGGCAAAAACACCTTAAATTCTCAAGCTCAGTATCCAATCAGGAAGCCCTCATCACACTATACAAAGTCACATAATCACTAGAAGAGTCACTCTATCAGATTCCAGGAATTCACTCTTCAAGTATAGCAGAGACCTCGACAGTCCCCTGGTGACCACTCAACTGCTGAGCCCTCTTCTCATACAATCTTACTTCCTGAGAACATCTCAAGTATCATCAGTGTCTCATAACATCTCTAGTAATAAGGCAGTTTGAACCCAGCTACGAATCCCAGTTTATAATACAAGCAGGTGGCTCAGTAGTTCCCTCAGTACCACCCAACTGCTGAGACCACTGCTGAATTACAGCTGTAGCTTCCTTTCAACTCAAGGATATTGTCCCACTGCTCTCATCATCCTAAACAACATTCCATCCCCACTCTCATCACAGGGTTAATATTTGTGCACCAGTTACCTCAGCAGTTCCCTACTTTCTAGCCAACTGCTGAGCTAAAAGTCAGGTCAATCTAAGTCCAATCTTCCCCAGATCAGAAAATAGTTAAAACACTCATTATATAAAGGGTAAAGACTTCCGCTGTGCATCTATTAATCTCTCAAAAGATTATAGATCAACTCATCTAGAGGGAAAACTTTGAAAAGTCGAAAAAGATTTAAAAGTCTTTTCACCCCCCACCCCCCACCCCTCTAGACTTTTACCCTATCCGGGACCAACAAATACTTTAATTCTCTGCTGACTACAAAAATATTAGCAGTTAAAGGTGTCGGGTATGAAAAAATATATCTACTCTGGTATGAAAAACAAAAGGTATTGAGTTTATATTGATACCATAAACTCCAAACTCTTATATGTTAATGGGACCTGCACATAAACTCCAAACTCCGGTATGACCATAAACTCCAAACCATTGGTATCCTTACAAAACTAAAGGTATGAAAAATATAGTAAGAAATAATCTTCCTTTCCTATTTGAGTTGATGAATTGCATTAAGGGTGTCGGGTATGAAAAATACTTTTCATATGATGGCAAACTTATTCTTCATTGTGTGCATTATATGTTTGATAAAATGCATAAATGGTGTATGTATGTAAAAGTTGCATTTATGTTCAACAGTTTTTTGAGAGTTGGTGGTCTGTTTAGGAAGACACAAAATGCACTAGTTTATGTGAATGGACAGAGTAAAATTTTTGAAATTGATCCGGATGAATTATGTTAGTTTTGGCTTGAGGAATTGGCAAAGAAATGTGGGAGTTACAACGTCATTGATGAAATATTTTATTTGGTTCTTGGACTGAGTTTGGATAAAGGTTTAAGAAAAGTATATAATGATCAGTACAGATGACTGAAATACTACCGAAGGTTGGGTCCCTAGATCTGTATGTGTTCCATGGCCTTGATCAAGCTGAATTGTTGGTGATGCTACCACCAAATGTATACCAAGGTGGAGAAGCTGGTGCTAATGTTGAAGACCCTAAAACAACTAGTGCAACAGATGATATTGATGGTTGGGAAGCTAAAACTGAAGCAAAAAATGTTGAAACTGAAACTGAAGATGATGTTGAAGTAGATGCTGAGTTAGAAGATGAAGGGGAACTAAAGGACTTCTTTTCTGGTGAGGATAATAAAGATTTCAGTGATGAAGAATTCTTAATAGCAAAGAATAGAGTTAAAGAATGCAAGAACATGTTGTTTGAAATTGGAAAAGAATTTCAAAAAGGAGTTGAACAAGGTAGTCTAGAAGGGTAGGAAGATGCAAAAGACACTACCTGCGCTACTGAGGATGCGTTTTTAAGTGAGTACGAGGATAGTGATGAAGAAATTCACACTCCACCACAAAGTGAGGAAGCGATATGTGATAGTAGGAAGAAAAGAAAAGGCAATGACCTTGTGAGTACAAACAGTGACTTCTCAAAGTTTGAATGGACAGTGGGGCAGAGATTTCCTACTCGTGTTGCTTTTAAGAATGTTGTAGTCAGGTATGCAATACTTCAGGTATCCAAACAGAGACAAAGTAATGGTAACAAATCATGGTATGGAAATGACATGTAGCATCTGTCAGATTAAAGGTCACAATAAGCGCAGGTGTCCAAACAGAGACAAGGTTATGGTTCAAGAACCTCAAGCTAAAAAACCTACGGGTCGCCCTAGAAAAGATGGAAACCCTCTCATAGGTACTACATTAGAAACAAGTAATCCACCTACCCATCATTCCGTCACAACTCAACCTAACATGATAGGTAAGGGAGGGAGAGTCATTATAGGAGGAAAACGATCTAGAGGAAGAGGATCTAGAGGCGGAAGGGGGTCTCGAGGCTGAAGAGGCAGTGGGGGTGACATGAATAAGGTAAATGAAATGTAATTTTACAACCTTAAATAATTGTGAATTTTATGACTTCTAACAAGAACTAAGGTAATTAATTAATGACATAGGTGCAGGTCCCGGAAGGGCTTGGAGTTTATGTTGATACCAATGGTGTAACACACACGAATGTAAATATTTTTCAACTCAATTGGTGCAGTGACTTTGTTATCCATGATAAGTTGCTAACTTGTTGGTAATATGAGATGACTCTGTTATTCATGCTAAATTTATTTGTGCAGGCTCCAGGTCAATCAGGAGGACCAAGACTGGTGTGATTGGAAAGCGGGCAGA